CAAGGTATTAGTGGAACCAGCGTGAAGAGCCAGGGCAAAGTTGTCAAGCGCAAAAAAAAAAAAAAAATCTGCCCCTTTAAGAAAACGCGTTCAGAGGCTTTTTGGCTACATTAGGCTCCCACTGGCCGACACCATCTTTAATGCTCCATTTTTAATGGCCATGCCGGACAGCTCCCCTGCCCCTGTGAACACAAGGAGCCGGGAGGAGGGGGCTGTTTTCGGGGGAGGGGGGGGGCAAAGTTGTCAAGCGCAAAAAAAAAAAAAAAATCTGCCCCTTTAAGAAAACGCGTTCAGAGGCTTTTTGGCTACATTAGGCTCCCACTGGCCGACACCATCTTTAATGCTCCATTTTTAATGGCCATGCCGGACAGCTCCCCTGCCCCTGTGAACACAAGGAGCCGGGAGGAGGGGGCTGTTTTCGGGGGAGGGGGGGCCATTTTCGGGGTCATTGGGGGGGCTCGAGTGGCCCTCTGGGGGGGGGGGAAAGAGCCGCATGCGGCTTGCGAGCTGGACGTTGTCCACGGCTGACATAGAACATTTCTATTAATAGAAGAACCTCCCCTAATAGATGTCTCTGTCCGATCCATGTGTTCTTCCACATCTGTTGGCTTTCCCTCAATCTTTAGTTTAAAAACTGCTCTACAACCATTTTAATGTAGCAGTCTGATTCCATTTTGATTTAGGTGGAGCCCATTCTTCCTGTATAGATTTCCCCTATCCCAAAAGTTTCTCCAGTTCCTAATAAATCTAAATCCCTCTTCTCTACACCATCCATGCATCCATACACCGTCTCATCCATGCATTGAGACTCTGAAGCTATGCCTGCCTTCCTGGCCCTGCGCATGGAACTGGAAGCATTTCAGAAAACGCTACCATAGAGGTCCTGGATTTCAATCTGTTTTCTAGCAGCCTAAATTTGGCTTCCAGAACCTGTCTTCTATCCTTCCTTATATCATTGGTACCTACATGCACCGTGACCACTGGCTCCTCCCCAGCACTACACATAAGACCATCTAGATGTCTCGAGAGATCCGCAACCTTCGCACCAGGCAGGCAAATCACTATACAGTTCTCCCGGTCATCACAAACCCAGCTATCTATGTTTCTAATGATCAAGTCCCCCATTACTAACACCAGGCTTTTTTCAAGTGGCATTCCCTCCCCCAGAGATGTATCCTCAATGCTCTTGAATATGTACTTATAAACTGCAATATAAACTCGCGAGCTGCACTTTTGGGAGGGGAAGAGCTGCATGCGGCTCGTGAGCCGCAGGTTGGTCATCCCTGTCCTACAGCAACCCTGCTGAGTTTAATTTTCCTGGGGGCTGTGCTGGCTAGTCTTCAGGTTCAACTGAAGAAGTTCATGCCTGATGATTAGATATCATTTGTTGTTGTGATTGTGAGGATTTGCTGTTGAACTGCAAAATAATGGCCTAGTTAAACCTTTATCTATTTTCCTTAACAATGTAGGTTTACTAATCTTCTCCTAATCTCTGGTTTGTTTTGTGTAAATGGTAGGCTCCCTAGAGTGTTTGTTTTTAAGAGAGTGATTTACAAAACATTTCACAAGCTTGAGTACTCGGTAAGATAGAAATCAGTGGGAAGCACTAAGTTCCTTTGCAGAACTGTTGCCTTCTTAGGCTTAAATATATCCCTGCCAAGAAGATTTTAATTTGTGTTCTATAATGTGTCATGTACTTTTTCCTACCTAAAAATGAAATCCGATAGTTTGTCAGCTAAATAGAGACCATTTGTCACCTGGGGTATGTGAATTTCTAAATTCTTGAATTTCTGTGGCAGGGTTTTTTTCTTTTTCTTTTTTTGAAGTGACTGCCACAAAGCAGTAGTTTGAACGGTTTATCTCCCTGTTTTGATGTGTGTGGTATAATATTTTTTTCTTTTAAAATCCAACTGAGCTCAATACAGGAAATTAAACAACCTTAATTTACATCTTTAAGGCATTGATAGATCAAACAGAAGATCAGAGAAATCCCTGTTCTTCTCTCTTGAACAAATTTACAGACACTTTCATAACTACCCAAACTTTTTCACTGTCACCAGAATTACTTAGTAAGACCATGTCTACCAGTCTTGTGACAGTCAGCATAAAACTGGTACAGTTATTAAATTGCTTGTGTTTGTGTACACGTGGCTCCTTGTGTTGGTCAGGACATGCATCACTGGGAGTATTTATGTCAATTTGAATTGGTGTGGGGCACTGTGTAGGGTGGCTCATGAAAGCTAGTATTAATCACTGTAAGCAGTGCAACGTCTACAGTACGGTGATGCTGCATTGAGTCAATTACATCAACCATGTCTCTATGTCCAGGGACAGCCTTAGGAAAATGGTTCCCTGAGCAAAGATGTATTTGATGCCATTGCCTCCCTGGGCTTCCCCCCTTCGATCACCCCTGGACACTGCTGCCTCCCCAGGCTTCCTCAGCCACCATTGGTCCTGGGTCTCCTCCTACATTGCCCTGAGTTCCCTTTGTCAGACTCGTAACCCAGGCCTACCCCACTCCTTGCCTTTTGATCGCAGTACCTGCCTCCCAAGAGCACCTGAAGAGGTAACCGGTGTTCCTTTTTTTTTTTTTTTAAATGTCCATGAGTGGAATAAATTTTGTTGTGTGCCAGTATGAAGGCAATGCACAGTGGATAAAAATTGATGTTTTTTAAAAAAATCAAAAATCTACCCCATTAAGTCACTCCTGAATCTAACTTTATTTAAATGGGATTTTTTAAAAAGTAATCAATAAAATACTACATTTCTACTTTAAAAATAAGTTATAATTAAGTCTTATCACAAACATGCTATTCTTATATTTACACTCTCTTAAAAATGAATTAATGGATCTAGTCTGTCCAGCCTTGCTCCTTGAAGGTTCGGGGCTTTCAGTTCATGTTAGTCTGCTGAGAAACATGTGCAAAGATAAACATAGGCTGGATAGAATTGTTTTTGTTCTGTGCTTATTTGGGTGGTGAACCTGGGCCAATATATAGAAAAGGAGAGAGGCAGTATAGAAAGGAACACTGGAGTGCACTGAAAAGGAAAAAGGGAAGACCCTTATTCAGTACACACACACAGACAGAAAATCTGTTGTGACTTCTGAGTGTAAAAGAGATCATATCTGGGAATATTTTGAAGAAATTCTTTCCCTGGGTAAAAAACGAAAATGTCAGTCAAGTCTAAGCAGAGCAAGAAGGTGATGCAGAGCCTAGCTGCACAAATGAAACCATCATAGGAAAAATGTTTATTGGGAGAAAATGATGTGGATATGTCTGAAGGATAATGTGGATCAACTTTGCAATGCATCATTCTTCTTCAAGACTTTTTCTTTGCCTTTTAGTATGTGTGATTTAACAGGCAAATTCCCAAACTATTTGCTATGTTGATGTTGGTAGAAACCATATATGTGACAATTTTCTTCCACTATTTGATCTGAGGAAGTGGGTCTGTCCCACGAAAGCTCATCACCTAATAAACCATCTTGTTAGTCTTTAAAGTGCTACATAGTCCTTTTTTTTGTTAAAGGGGACATGCTGTTTTATTTTAATTTTTTGTTTTTGGCTCAACAACAACCCCCACTGGGACTCGGGGATCCAGCCTGTGAGCAGCGGCTGGGCTCAGGCAGAATCCCCCGCATCAAGGCTGAGTCATTTAGAGAAACCAACTCAGTGCTGGGTGCAGGGTGAAGAGACAATCCTGGGGAGCGAAGGAGGGTTTGTGTGCAAACTGAGCCTTGCTTCAGAGTCCTACCAAGCTAATCATCAATGTATGAGTATGGCCTGGCAACTTATCACGGCACAGCAGCCAGAGGTTCATGGACTGGCGGTTGGGAACACCTGTGTTACAGTAATAAACCATGCTTTTATTAAAAATCCTACAGTAGATCACCCTCAAGATAGGCGTGCCTTTTCTTGCAAAAATTTAAATGGATGAAAGATTAGATAATTATATCCTATACTATTCTCTTTCTCTGTTCTGTAAAATCTCTGCTTGACCAAGTATGCACCATAACCCAACAGTGTCACACGCTAGACAACAGCTTTGCATGACTAAAAAAATATGGTTTAGTGACTAAAATATGCAGGCATGCTCATTTGGAAGAAGATAATTTTAGTTGTGGCTTGCTTTTTTCTAAGGCTGCATCTACACTACGAGTTTTCTCGGCAAAAAATATGCTAATGAGGGACTCATTTGCATATTTTCTGCCATCTGTTTTTGCTCTGGGGTTTTTGCGCGAAAAACCAAGCAGCGTGGACATTTTCTTTTTGCGCAAAACCCCCTGTTTTCCGATCTTGTGGGGAAAGGTTTTTTTTGCGCAAAAAGAAAACGTCCACACTGCTTGTCTTTGCACAAAAATCCCAGCACAAAAAGACAGCAGAAAATATGCAAATGAGATCATGACTCATGCAAATGAGTCCCTCATTAGCATATTTTTTGCTGAGAAAACTCGTAGTGTAGATGCAGCTTAAGTGACCTTCATAGTTAAATAGCTAGTAGCAATTTGTACTGCAAGCCTAAGATGATATGGTAAGATGGAAGGCAAAAGGACAAAAGCTACTTCTTTTATAGAAACAGTAGGGTTAGCATGTGCTATTGCTGCCAATCTCCATACTTTTATGGTATGATTAAAATTTAATCAGTGGCTCAAAGGAAATGTCTTTCTGTGCCAACAGAAAAGTTAAGCAGTCATAAGATGCTCATGTAGGATGCTTGTAAAATGTCCAGATCTGGCTGTAGAAGATAATGTATAACTGCTGCCACCAGCTAACATTTAATCGTTTAACTTGGGAGAAGAGTGCTGGCAATTCCAGGTTCAAAAATTTTGCTGGTGACAATTCGGGGTTTTTTACTTATCAAGATGGCTGCTTACATTATAACTGGAGGAAGTGGAAGCAACTCGTAATTGATTAAATGGTAAAAAAGAATTGTGAAATTCAGTGAGTCTGTTGTAAAGATATTTCTACTTTTATTACAATTATTTTTATTATCCATAGTGTTCATAGGAAAAGTATTGAAGAGGCTCTTTGCTGCTACTCCCTCCACTTCTCATGTGCCTTTTCCAAGTGGAGAAGAGATGGTTCCGAAAAATCTAGCCTCAAAACCAGAGCCAAAGGATTTTGAGAATGCTCAGGCTTCATCAGAATGTGCCAGTTCCCCAGGTAATAATATAACCTGCAAATTACTGCAACGTGAAGATGTTTGTTTGGCTTTTGGTCACTATTTTAATTGTACTGGAACACACAGTGTAGAGCTTATACTATGAATTGAACCCCAATTTTTTAACACAAAATTTGCTTTGGCTTTTCCCTGTCAAGTTCTATGCAGTGCCTAGCATCTAACCCATTGATCAAACTACATTTTTCACTGAGGAAAAAAATCCTTTGTTCATACAAAGTTAGGGTTGCCTGATAGAATCAGGTGTCCTTCCAAAATTTCAAGTTGAGCAGGTCTCAGAAGTCTGATAGTTAAGGTATGCACCAAAGCAACCCTGATTTTGTATGTTCTGGGTCTCAGAATTATGAGGTTCTCTGGACTTGACGTTCTGGAAAGGCACATGAGTCTACCAGGCAATCTTAACTCTGCACTGGGTTTTTTGGTCAGTAAATTTCCTAACTTTTTTTAACATAAAATATTCTTTGTAAGAGTTCTTTATTTGGATAGCAATATATTAGATGGTAGACATGCTACTTGAATAACTGGTCTTTATTTCACCCTGCAGGATGCCTTGCTGTAATATAATGGTTTGTACTTTGAATGGGAGTGGAGGAGTAGGGCTGGGAGAAAATTGGACATTGATGATCACAGAAAATGTATTGACTTTATTTTGTGTTGGTTACATTAAGTTTAAATATGTGAGAGAAGATGTCTCTAGTTTACATATTTATAACCAACCTGGCTACATCTACATTGGCATCCCTTTCCGGAAAAGGGATGCTAATGTGACAAGTCGGAATTGCAAATCCACGGGGGATTTAAATACCCCCCACGGCATTTGCAGGAACATGGCTGCCGCTTTTTTCCGGCTCAGGGTTTTGCCGGAGAAAAGCGCCAGTCTAGACGGGATATTTTGGAAAATAAAGCCTTTTCCGGAAGATCCCTTATGCCTCTTAAAATCAGGAAGGCTTTATTTTCCGAAAGATCCCGTCTAGACTGGAGCTTTTCTCCGGCAAAACCCCGAACCAGAAAAAAGCGGCAGCCATGTTCATGCAAATGCCTTTTCCGGCTCAGGGTTTTGCCGGAGAAAAGCGCCAGTCTAGACGGGATATTTTGGAAAATAAAGCCTTTTCCGGAAGATCCCTTATGCCTCTTAAAATCAGGAAGGCTTTATTTTCCGAAAGATCCCGTCTAGACTGGAGCTTTTCTCCGGCAAAACCCCGAACCAGAAAAAAGCGGCAGCCATGTTCATGCAAATGCCGCGGGAATATTTAAATCCCCCGCGGCATTTGCAATTCCGACTGGTCTCATTAGCATCCCTTTTCCGGAAAAGGGTGCCAATGTAGACACAGCCTGTGTGTCCAGTTGTTCATTCCTGAAACAAACAAATCAAAGGCAGCACTTTACTTAGTAACATAGGCTGAGCTGTATATAAAGCTGCTTCTGATGGAAAAAGGACTGGACTGGCAGTGAGGAGAGATGAGGTGATGATGACAGGCAGTGAAGAGATCAACATGCAGCTAGGGTAATCGTTGCTCTGGCTAGGTTTACCCACTGAATCTCCACTCTACACCAGTTGGCTGGTCCACACAGGGAATGGCATGAACCTTAACTTTGTATATCCTAGTTTTGCTATTCTCCTCATTCTGGACTGCTAATAGGTACCACAATGCACCCTAAACTCTGCATCAAGTTTTAGAGTAATATTAAGAACCCCCACTTATCACAGGGCTGGCTGTCCCTAGGCCTCTGGCCTTTCAAAGGGAAAGCCACTCAGTTACAACATCCAAGGATCACAGCCTTACTACTTCATTGGAAATTCAGAACTATCCACCATGACAGGGGCGGGGGGAGGGAGAGGGAGAGATATGAGGCAATGACTGAAAAAGCAGTATAAGTGGAGAACTGGGCTGTGATAAGTGGGGTCTGCTCTTGCAGCGGGGAATGAGACCTGCTGCATGGTGGGGGAGGGGTAGGGTTTCTGCTCCAGTGGCCAGGAATGTATGTGTGTTAATAAATGGGTGCCATGGTGGCACACATCCAAACCAGCCCACATGACCTCTATATTGGTGCACAAGCCAAACCTCACTCCACTCATGGTTGGAAAATCTTAGAGGGAACACTGCTCTCTTCTTGTATCCAGCTTTTCTATCAACTGTACAAGAAATCCCCACCAGGAACTGATCTCACTTTACGTGTGCCATGGCCACATCCACAGCCTTCTTCAATAATGTCCCTCTAATTATAGATGTATGCAGGGCTGCCACATTGGCCTCAGATTACAGCTTTGCAAAACCCTGACAAGTGATGGCAGATACTGTACTAGGCCTTATTTTTTCCTCTCTCTCTCTCTCTCTCACACACTCACACACAGACACACACCCAACCAACCAACCACTCAAACTTCTGCTGTCCACAGGAGGGCACAGGTCTACAGACATTAGATGTAGAGTACCCACAGGGATGCTACTCGAAGAAGAGGAAGCTTCTGACCTTGTGCAGTAACAAAGCTTCTTGGAGATTTGTCTCTGGATGCTCTACTGCCCACTCTCCTCCCATCTAGTTTAGAGTTTGTTCAGCGAGCTTTGCAGTAGAGAAGAAACTGACGGATCGGTCATGTCAATGGCACCGCGTGACGATTACTGTGAATTCATGTGAATTCTCCTAGATTTTGATTTATGCAGTATTATGCTATAGGAGCATCTGTGGCCTTAAATCAGTAATCTTCAGTGGCTTTAAATCTTCCTGAAAACACCATCCTGGCCACCATGGATGTAGAAGCTCTTTACACCAACATTCAACACGATGATAGATTACTGGCTGTCAGGAACACTATCCCTGATGACACACACCTAATTACAGAGCTCTACTACTTTGTCCTCACCCACAACTATTTCCAATTTAGGGACAATTTTTATCTTTAAGTCAGTGGCATAACTATGGGCACCCGCATGACCCTACAATATGCCCAAATCTTTATGGCTGACCTTGAACAACATTTCCTCAGCTCTCGCCCGCAGCACCTTTACTCTACTTATGCTACATTGATGATGTTTTCATCATATGGACCCTCAGGAAGGAGACCCTGGAAGAATTTCACAGGGATTTCAACAACTTCTGCCCCACTATCAATCTTAGCCTGGATCAATCCACACAAGATATCCATTTCCTTGACTCTCCAGTACAATTAAACAATGGACACATTTCTACCACCTTATCTCAGAAACCTACCTACTGTTACACTTACCTACATGCCTATAGATTCCATCCAAGACACATTTTCCAATCAATTGTTTACAGCCAGGCCCTAAGATACAACCGGATTTTCTCCAGTCCCACAGACCAAAACAAACACCTATAGGATCTATATCAAGCATTCTTAAAACTAAAATACCTACCCGGAGAAATGGAAAAAACAGATTGACAGAGCCAGATAAGTACCCAGACATCAGCTTCTTCAAAATAGGCCCTACAAAGAAAACAGAATTCCACTTGTCATCACCAACAGCCCCCAATTTAAACCCCTCCATCACATTTTCAACCATCTACAACCTATCCTGGAAAATGACCCCTCATTCTCACAGGCCTTGGAAGACAGGCCAATCCTTGCCTACAGACAGCCCCCTAACCTCAAACAAATTCTTTCCAGTAACCATGAAACACATCTGCATTATACTCATCCAGGATCCCACCCCTGCAATCAGCTCCGGTGCCAACTCTGTTCACACATCCATATATACAAGTGACATCATCACAGGACCTAACCACATAAACCACCACATCAGAGACTCCTATAACTGCACTGCCACCAATATGATCAATGCCCCTCTGCCACGTATTATTGGCCAAATTGGACAGTCTCTACAATGAAGGATTAGTGGACACACATCAGATATTCAAAAAGCTAACGCACAGAAAGCTGTTGGGGAACATTTTAACTTGTCTGGGCACTCATTGAGGAATCTCAGTTTCCATATTATTACAAGCCAATTTCAAACACCAGCTTGAAAGAAGTTGCAGAACTTAATTTTGTTTATAAGTTTGATACCTACAATAGAGGTTTAAACAAAGACCTTAACTGGATTACTTGCTACATTTCACGTCCTAATTACATAAAAGGCCAAAAACCAGGTACTTAAGAGTACTTAGAACCCTCCCTATCAGCTTCTTTTAGCATGAAAACTCTAATTGACTATTCTTCCTCCTCCTACTTTCCCCCCCTTTCCTTTCCCTCCCCATCCCCTCTCTGCTATTTATTTGGAACTTGGACCCCTTAAACTCCATTCATGTGAAGAAGTGGGTTGTGCCCACAAATGCTCATGACATATCTACATTTTTTTATTAGTCTTTAAGGTGCTGCAGACTAACACGGTTACCCCTCTGAGACTTGTGGCTTTAAAAGTCTTTTCAGCCTTAATATCAATACAGAAGCTGCTCATATCCTGCCCTCACTCTTGTCTCTTCTATAACAAAACTTGTCACATTTCCAGTGTAACTGGCCCTCTGACCTCCCAGTGGATTAATTCTGTGGGCTCCTGTGTTCTATCTAAATTAAAGATGTTAACAAAGACCCTGTTGCTGTCCAACATTTAGCAGCTTTAAACAAGGTTTGGTACACAAAGATATTAGCCTGTGTAGCACCGTGGCACAAACACCATTAAAATTATTTAAAACTTTTATTAAAGATACAGAAAAGAATGGGAAAACAGTTCAAGCGTTTGAAATGTAAAATATTAAATAAGGATTTTATTGTAACAATATCCCTTTTCCTTTAACTGGAGAAAGGGTTTTTAGAAGCACACTATTTTTAGTTCCTGGATGAGCTGTGGTAACCCTTTCCTGGGGAGTAGAAGAATCCCTAACTCACAACAATATACAGGACATTGATAGATTTAAAACAATATGGTTCCCAAATATACTGCATGTGATTGTAATGTCTATCACATTGCTATTCCAGGGATTTTTAATCCAAGTAACAAACGTCTGGGAAAATAAAACTTAAAGA